AAAAAAAAAAAAAAAAAAAAAAAAAAAAAGAAAATATTTTCCTCAGTGTGTGCAGAGGGAGGAGTTGTGGGAATAGGTTGGATAGAAGGCAGAAAGAAGATTTTCCACTACATCCTTTTAAATAAATTTTGAAATATCTGAGTCATATCAATATAGTACCTATTCTAAAATTAAAGTTTCTGAATAAACCATAAGTATAATTCTAAAAAAATTCAAACTGTACCAAAGGGAATATAATGCCAGTACTCCAGACCCTTTACCTAAAGGCCACTGTTGTTACCTATTTCTCTATTTCTCATGCATCTTTGCAGGGATATTCTCTTGATATGTGAGCATATTTACACATACACATACACACACTCAAGAAAAATGGCAGTACTTGCTACATGCTTTTTGTACCTTGCTTTTTTTCATAAACAATACAGCTCTGAAATGATTTTATTTTGGAATGTATCAAACTGCTTCACTCATTCATGATTCATAATAATGGCTGCATAGCATTATATTATATGGATACACCATGATTTACTTAACCAGACATCTTTTAATGGGCATTTAGGTACTTTCCAGTGTTTTGCTATTACAAACAGTACTGTGATGAATATCCTTATACACTACTTTGTATAGTTTATGTGAGTCTACTTACTGAGTAAATTCCTAGAAGTGGAATTATATATCAAAATTATTTTGTATTTTTATTTTTGATGGAAACTGCCAAATTCAGTAAACAATTTTTTTAATGTAGCAAAACCTGCTTTTCTTTTACTGGGGAGGAATTATGAAGAAACGAAACATGCAACAAAACAAACAAAAACATACTATCTGGTTATACAGAGTAGATTAGAATTCAGCTTTTCTAGATCTAGAACAGGGTTTCTCAACAATAGCACTATTAACATTTTGGGTTAAATAATTCTTTGTTGTGAGGTCTGCCCTGTGGACTGTAGGATGTTTAGCAGCATCCTTGGTTTCTACCCGCTAGATGCTAATACATCCTCCCCAGTCATGATAATCAAAAATATCTCCAGACATTGCCAAATGTCCTCTCTGAGGGGTACAGGGGTTGCCCCAGGTTGAGAACCACTGATTTTAGTACAATGCTTTGCCGTTTAGAGATTTTTTTTCAGTCCTGTATACCTGAATCTAGCTACTTCAGTCCATTTTGCTCAATAAATACTGGTTAAGTATCCCCTCGCCCCCCGCCCCCACCCCTCCACCCAAAACCAAAAAGCAGCAGGGGCAGTGAAAGCAGTTTTTATTCTAAAATACGGTAGGTGATAAATCAAGCAGCTCATGTATACTATTTCTACAGACTCAGGTCTCAGGATGTTAGCTGTGTTTACTGGAGCTCTTTCTCGGGCCCAGTGAGTGTTAAACTTGTGCCTTCATGTTACTGTGTCCCAAAGAAAGTGTCACAAGCTCTAGGAGACACAGATACTTAAAATGCCTCCCGCGGGACTTCCCTGGTGGCGCAATGGTTAAGAATCCGCCTGCCAATGCAGGGGACACAGGTTCGAGCCCTGGTCCGGGAAGATCCCACATGCCGCAGAGCAACTAAGCCCAAGCCCCACAACTACTGAGCCTGCGCTCTAGAGCCCACGAGCCACAATACTGAGCCCACGTGTCACAACTACTGAAGCCCACACGCCTACAGCCTGTGCTCCACAGCAAGAGAAGCCACCGCAATGAGAAGCCCGCGTACCACAACGAAGAATGGCTCCGCCCACCACAGCTAGAGAAAGCCCATGCACAGCAACAAAGACACAACACAGCCAAAAATAAAATAAATAAACAAAATTTAAAATAAAATAAAATAAAATGCCTCCCGCTTTGGCTCTATTGCTATACTTGGATTATCATAGTGCTCCTCCAAATGTTTGTCAAAAGCTCCCCAGAGAATGAGACATTCCTTTGAGCTACATTAGTATTTGCCCTGAGTTCTTACAGACAGTGGGCTGTGCCAGCAAGCCTTCAGGGCCCAACATTAAGAGCCAGAGATACCCTACTTCCTTCCTGCAGAGCTGCAAAGTTGCCCACTCAGGAATTCACGAAACTCTTGCTTCTTAAGGTATTATCTCTTTGATCTCATTATTCCAATGAGCATCACTGCAAACAACGCCACTTTAGATGGCAAGTTACACTGCCAATCCATAGATGGTCGATGATTCCACTCAGAACACCAGTTGAAGCTGGCCAGCCCTGTAGCATTTTCCTCTTTCCAGATCTGCTCCTCTATATTTCTGCCCATCCCATTGCTGAGTATGACCTAGTGCAGCTCTCTCAAGTACTCATACTCTACGGCAGCAACTTAATACATATACATTTGGTTACAGCTATATTTGTAGTGAAAATGGTATTAGAATGTTGCCATACACAGTATACTTTAAGGAAGTTAAATTTGTGGCACAAAAGATTAATGGATGGTGGTAAAGGGTGGAGAAGTGGGAAGAAGCAGATGAAGAGATTTCTATTCAGAGTAATGACAGGTAATAAATAAATCAGCTTAGGTGTTAACGCTTCTTTGGAATTTCCTATTCTTGAGTCTCAGTGCTTTAGAGTTGTGTTTGCTTGAGCTCTTGCTGTGCTCCCTTTCCATCTTTTGGGAGCCACTGTGTGGTTATCTATGCCTGGATGTCACCATGTCCCAGAGAAAGGCCACAAACTCTAGAAGGGAAAGATATTCAGAGGATGTACAGTTAGCTTCTGTGCTTTTCTGAGAGAGACCCACTACAGTGAGGCCCTTCAAACTGTGGTTATCCTTGTCTCTGGCTACCGTGAACCACCTTGGCTTTTCCACACTTTCACACTGTGATGCACTTCATGTGGTGCTCCCTTTGAGAGGAACACAACTCCCATCCTTTGCTTCCTGTTCACCCCTCTAGTCTGAGCTCAGGTGAGATTAGAGCCAAGACAACTCCACTTAAAGACAACTCCCTATAGTCCAAGGCTCAGGACCTCTCCTCTGGGTTCCACAGTACCCTGGGCTTGCTTCTACTAGATCCTTATCTGATTGCCATTTTCTCTGATGTGTTTTTCTCTACCACCTACCTGTGTGCTCCTTAAGAGCAAGAATGGTCTTTTTTTTTTTTTTTTTTTTTTTTTTTGCGGTACGCGGGCCTCTCACTGTTGTGGCCTCTCCCGTTGCGGAGCACAGGCTCCGGATGTGCAGGCTCAGCGTCCATGGCTCACGGGCCCAGCCGCTCCGCGGCATATGGAATCTTCCCAGACCGGGGCACGAACCCGTGTCCCCTGCAACGGCAGGTGGACTCTCAACCACTGCACCACCAGGGAAGCCCAAGAATGGTCTTTACTTTCCTCTACCTATAGCATACATAGTGTCTGGCACAGGGCTCAGAAAGCATTTACTTAATGGATAGATGAAGAACATGTTCCTTTATTCAGATTTCCCTACTTGCTCTTCAGCATACCTATATTTCAAATAAATTGATATTCAATTGATATTCATAAATTGATATTCAAAAAAAACCCACCTAAAATAAGCTGTGCTACTTCAAAACTGTTACATGTGTTGATGGTTCAGTTTAAAATTCATGTCTCTAATGTCTCTGTACTTTGGTTTCTTCTGTTTCTTCTTCTAACAGAAGCACATGTCCTACTATTATCAGATATCATTTCTCCTTCAAATTTCAATTTTTCTGACACATAATGCAATTAATATCACCCATACCAATTAGTGGTCTTACCACAGAATAAATTCTCAAATCCATTTGTATTTGTAAATATGCCATCAAAATGGAAATTGTGTATTTTGAAATCAATATATATAGTTTATTTCATATTATTTTGAAATTCTTTCCTTATTCATTTCTAAATGTTTATGTAATTTGTTCTGTGTCCCTAATTAGTTTTAAGTTGCATTAGGTTAGAGATTCTTTTGGTTTCTTTATAACTACTTAGATTATTCGATATTCTCAGCACACAGAGTACTCAGAGTTGGGAGACCATTTTATTACCAGAAGAGACAGGCCCACAGAAGGTCCTTCTTAAAAATGTAACCAATTGCAACTAACTGGATGTTAAATGCAGTATGATCTAATGTAAGAGCTCTCACTGGCAAGGCTAGGATAACAAAATAACCTTAAAACTTCCAGAAGTATAGGTATTGTTTATTTTTGTAAATAACTTTCTGTTCCTTGAAGAAACAATGCTACATACAGGCAGTAGGATGTTTCTACTGAGTCACCTGATGCAATGCTTTGTTGGCTTGATATGGTCTTATCTGTCCCAAGTCAGTGAGATATTCTAATTACAGTCCTCATGGCTCAAAGCTAAGATGCTGACGACCATGTCAACATCTAATCAGAAGGCACATAGAAGCAAACTATAGACTCTAAAACATTCTGCCACTTTCTGAGATAACCTATGCTTCTTTTCTTCATATTTTTGTTTCATTGTGTGGGAAGGGTTAGAATTTTTTTAATCTGACTGAATCTGGGTATTAACCAACAGGTTATTTGTATATATCATTCACACACTTCCACACAGATGACTTTAAAACGACATCAGTGTGCTGGAAAAGCCATAGATATGTGACTAAGATTTTTGTATCCTTCATATTTTCCATGAACTTTTGGATACATTGGTTGTGTGAAGTTATTCTGTAAAATGGGTTTCAAAGAATTAGTCTCTAGAGAAGTGTTTAAGCAACTCAAAGTTACTTTCTTTAAAAGAGTACCCAGGAAACATTCAGTAGGGAGATGCCTAAATAACTTTGACTGAGTCAAAAAGTAAAAAGTAACAAATCCCATAAATGTACCCACCACTGTCTTTGCTACCTCTTTCACACTTCAAGGAGTGTCTGTCCTCTAGTTTTAGTGTTTGGGGACTGACGAATTTTCCCCTCAGCTAATCCATTCTCTTTCATGACGTTTATACACCTTTAAAAGTAAATCTGTTGACTTCTACCTTTCTATACTGGAACAGCAAAGGGTAGCTCCTGCCCCAAACCTTCCCAGTCTCCCTCACTGGAAACACTCTTCTCTTGAAGCTACAGACCACTTTGCAGCCTCTCTGACAGCAGGAACCACAGTTCATTTATGTAGATGCTTCTCTCTCCCTGAGAGCAGGGTTCCTGTGTAAATCAACGCTACATATCTAACACCTCAACTGCAGCACAGTGGGGGGCTCAACACATGCTGGCTGACAGGAGCCTGCTGTATTTCTCTTCACCTTGCTAGCCATGACCCTGTATTGGTTCTCTCCCTTTCCTGAGATGCACAAATGATAGTGATTTTGTGGTGTTCTGAGTGGAAATATTCCATGGTTTTGAACAAGGGTGAGATAATATTTTTAGCTTTATTTCTGATATTTCTCTTTGACATTTGTTGGCTATTTTTCAAATTTCAGAAGTATAAACTTTAGGTGAAAAGTCCACAGTGACTTAACGAACCCTTTCCTGAACTTCACGGATGGCTCAGAGCTTAGACAACATTTTTCTAACTGCGTCACCCAGCTTCAACACTTACACTGTGCCTTTGGGTCACCTAACCTTTCAGTTTCATCATGTATAAAGCAAAGATGATAACAGAACCTATACTTGCTAGGGTTGAGGAGTGCTTAGTTTACCAAGTGTCAAAAAAGGTTAGCTACTTTCCTTTAAGTTAACATCCCATAATTATCTCAGTTTTGATAGGGAAGGATTTTCTTGTTCTTTTTTTTTTTTTCCCTGGCCGTGCCACGCAGCTTGTGGGATCTTAGTTCCCTGACCAGGGATTGAACTCAGGCCACAGCAGTGAAAGCGCTATGGCCGAGTCCTAACCACTCGGCCTCCAGGGAATTCCCAGGAAAGGATTTTCTTGTGAAGTCTTTTCAAAGGCTCATTTAAAATGCAATAAATCATGCCTACTGATTTACAAATATATATATATATCCCTTCAAAGAATGTTTTAGTCAGCTTTAGTTTTAATGATCTAATTTTTTTCATAAAGTCCAAAGATTAAATTCTTTGGGATTCACAGCATAAAAGTACTAAATCCTATGTTACAAATATACAACTGTAAGTTCCTGACAGTTATGCCTGAATCCATAAATTTCAATTGTTATAATTAACACACAGAGTAAGCTACTTCACAAAACTGACAGGCTGTGATGTCTTCAACGGTTTAAATAAAACAATGCTACAGACGTGTAGGCTACTTACAGTCTCTTCATCTTCTGGACCCTCCCTCTCCCTCACCTATACATTTGAGTATTTAAGTGAAAACAGACAGAATCCTTTCTTACCTCTCCATCAGCCACAGCAGAATAATTCACTTGGGCAACAGTGACTGTGGTTGGCAATTCTGAAGCATCCGCCAATGTGGCTACTGTTGCCCCTGTACCAACCTAAAGAAAAAACATGGAAAGTGATGTGTCAGTGAATGGATCCTTCAACCTCTCCTTTACTCAGAAGTTAAGATTCAGATAATCCCAAATTCAGCAGAGGTAATGATTAATATGCCTTGTAATATGAAATGAATTACTAAAATCACATCTCAGACACTAACATGAGTTTCAGAGTTTTACTTCAACCACATAAGTCACTATGAGAAGCCATCATGTTTCATCACTGGTGCCCAGTGTCAGTCAACCAACTTTCTACTCTCACCCCAATCTGAATTTTAGGTGCTCCCTCTATTTACCAACAAATTGCATTTCACCTTAGAAGTGGTAATTTAGAAGGAATATTTCCTGGCCACTGAGAGAGTGAAATGGTAAAAAAAAGAAGCCATTTTTACAGTGCTTTGATTTGGAAATGTCTAGAAATGCTATCTATAGCTTTGTATTTAGCAAAATGCAAACAATTTAAAATATTATTCAAAAAATTGAGTTCAGGTAGGAAGATCTTGGGGAGCTGTATAAAATTAATACAAGAATTTATATAAAGACAACTTTCTTGGGCTTCCCTGGTGGCGCAGTGGTTAAGAATCCGCCTGCCAATGCAGGGGACACGGGTTCGAGACTTGGTCTGGGAAGATCCCATATGCCACAGAGCAACTAAGCCTGTGTGCCACAACTACTGAGCCTGAGCTCTAGAGCCCGCAAGCCACAACTACTGAGCCTGCGTGCCACAACTACTGAGCCTGCACTCTAGAGCAT